TTGACCAAGGTCACGATCAGCCCGTAAGTGTCCTCGCCGCAACAACTCAGCAGAACCGCTCGTTTTTGCTCGTCCGTGGTTATCTTGTTTGCAGCGCAGAACATCTCTAGCCGTTTGACGTATTCATCCCAGGACGCATTCGTGCCGAGACGATATTCACCGACCCTGCCGACCGACATCTTGCCTTACTCGACCGGGACTCGCCCGTCCGTCGATTCACCTCGTCGCCAATGTAATAGATCCTTCAGACAGCGCGGTTGGAACAGAACAACGGTTTATTTCCGTATGAGCGTTTATATACACTGCGCATGTTATGATAAGCGAACGCGGCTTGCGTTGGTGATAGGCGCTGATAGCGATAACAACGAATATACAATGTCACTACATGACACCTTCGAAGCCCGAGCTGCCGGCACGGGCATCGCCGGTACAGATGGTCGGCTTCCGCGCAGTGGTAACACACAGCGGGCGTTGGTACGCCGTCCTCCATTCGTCCGTCATCCTCCGCAAAGGTTGCTCTGGGCAGACGTACTGTACAGCTGGAGGTTCACGTTGCGGTGGCGCCGTATACGGTCCAGCAAAGGGCGGTGGTCGTCGTGCAGTTGCAGCGTAGCTCAAATGTCGGTGGTTCCGGAGCGGCACTTATGAGAACCTCTGCTGCAGCGCTTGCTGAACTTCTTCCCTGACAATCTCTGCAATTGAGGGCCACGCTGGCCTTGCGGTGGCATGTAGAAGCTCCTTGATATCCTTCCGGACGACGTCCAAGATGGTCTCGCGAATTTCCGGGGTGTTACAGCTCGAAGACGAAAGGGCAGCGACGCCTGGACTTTGCTGGTAGTGTCCGGCGCGTGCTACTGGGGCACGTTCTATATTTATGACCTACGTGACTAACCCGCCGACTGTTGTTGGGGGATTGCGGACGAGACCGCGGAATATCTCGCATTTCACACCCCTTGCCACTTGCTGCAGCCTCTTCTCCCTGTGGTCTGAGGGTCGCCGCGGGCGCTCAGGTGCAAAACATCCTCGACAAAGGTGGAGATGCTCTCATTTAGGCCTTGGGTTCTTGTGCGAAGGAAATCTTGGGCCCTGCCGCGTCGGTGTTGGATGGCAAACGCCTTCTTCAGTTCTTGCTTGCACACCTCCCAAGAAGTCAAAGAAGCCTCGTGGTTCTTCATCTAGTGCCTCGCAGTTCCTTCCAGTTAGAAAGAGATGTTCTGCAAGCAGTGCTCAGCTGACCGCCCGCTCTGGCGGGCCATACGTTCATAGTATTGCAGGCAATCTTTGATGGTCGTCGTGGGCCTCACCATGGAAAGGCGTTGGAGACCCTGGTGCGACGGGTAGGTATACGACGGTGGCGGCGGTCGGGGTTGGCGACGACTGATTGTCCATCGTGGGCCTCATTGCCCTCTTGTAGTTGGGGGGCGTAAATCCGAATTCGGTAGGTAGGCCTTGGGTGCGGTGGCTTTCTCGGGTCTCGGTAGTCCCTGGGGATGGTCCCCTTAAGCCGGGAATCGGGCTCGCGCTGCGACGCCTTGGAGGGGTACGCTTCATAGGCTGCGTTACCCAGCACCTCCACCGAAATATCCCGATTGACAGATGATGAGGCTACGAATGAGCAGAAACTAAACGCTGAATTTGGCGAACCTGTGAATAAAATAAAAATACAAAGATATATCGTCGCAGGTGCCGAAGGTCGGCAGAGTAGCACGATCGAGTGCAAGAGCGTGACTAACTCCGGACCGCCACGCGGAGCATCTTTTGCATACCAACGTGGGTTTCTGGAACATTCGGCGTAGCACGTTCGGCGCGTAGAACATTCGTAATTTGATCAGACGACAAGGTTCTCGAAATTACGAGAACATCAAGTTGGAGGAATAATTAAAAGAGGAGTTCGCTCCCTGGAATCGAACCTGGAGCCTCAGCGCGATGACAAAGCACTGCAATCATTAAGCCACGAACGCGCACCCTCGGCTTAGGTGAACCATTTTGAACCGGTTACCGTTATGTTTGTTTTTTCCGGTTCAGTTCAGGTTCAGTTCCAAGATGGTGCGAAGATTTCGGTTCGGTTCAGTTCCAGTTCGGCAAAAATAACTGTTCGGTTCAGGTTTTCGGTTCGGTTCTTTTTCGGTCCGACACCCTGGTTGGAGCAGGCTACTTTGACTGAGCCACCTCCTTCAGTCCGCTGCCTTTAAAGGGAAACTGCGGCCAAAACGGAAAATGAAATAAATTACTGGTATCGCTGTAGTGACACAAAATGCGACCCCAGCCAAAATATTACGTCCGTAAGACGCCGCATTCTCAACTAATGCCGATAACAGAAATGCGACCGGCCGCGAGCCGCTGCTCCTTAGCGGGCGGCCAGCGGGTGGCCGATCGCTAAAGCAACATTGGGCCGTCACGTCCGTATCGTTCTCTTTTTTTGCTTCGGTCCGGGCGTTGCCCGGAGTGCGCTTCTCTGAGCCGCTACCACCGCTACTTCGGCTTGTGATTGGCGTGTTTAGCCGTTGCTTTTATCTGTAGCCCATGTAGCTTCGGTATAGCCTATTGTTTATTTGCTGGTGAGGACTTTAAGACTCGTTTTAGCGAGCAACTCGGTGCCCCCAAGACTGCCCAGCTCTTCCTCGAAAGATGCGGAGTGCAACTTGTAGCGCTGTGGGCTGCTCAAACAACCCGCTGCGCAACACGGAGGTGTTTTTCACAATTGTCCGACGGACCGGAAATTGGAGAAGGTGTGGATGAACGCCGTTCGACGAGTGGACTTTGGACTTCGGCGTTTACGCGCCCGAGGAAAAAAGAACGAAAAAACAGTCGTGTACAGCCCAGCACACGTGTGTTCGGGCGCCGCGGCCCGCGCCTGAGAGCCTCAAAGTTTCGTGTCTGGGACTGACCCGCAGCGCGAAAGCGAGAGGGCCTCCAGTACTCTACGTCACTGGCAGCGCGGCGTAAAGCAACGGCGCTCCATCCACGGAGCCCAGATGACAATTTAGGCCTAGCGACGAGTACGTAAGACCGCACACACGGCGACAGCCGCCGAGTGCGGCACCGAACGAGTTTACTTGTTTTCCAGTTGCTAGCTTTTGGGTATACAAGCGACGAGTACGGCATAGCGCACGCACGGCGGTGGCCGCCGAGTACGGCACCGTACGAGTTCACGGGTTTTGCAGTCGCTAGCTTTTGGGTATATGCACTAACTCTTGCTACGTATGCTCGATAACTACAACGTATACGGAATTAAAACAAAATCAGCTTACTTCTATCTTTAGGCGGCTAGCGCAACAGAGGTAGGTGGCGCTCGGCCTGCGTACTTGTTGAACGAGAACGATCCTGACGTCACGTTCACATAGCGGCTGATTTCCAGTGTTGCCGGGGCCTCGAGCGGCTAGTTTCGGTCTTGTTTGTCGCGCCCCAAACAAAACTTTCAGGTGTCGATAGCTTTAAAACTACGCACAATAACGACAAAAAAAATTACACCTTGCAACTCAGGGGCGCTGACTGCACTAAAAACAGTCATAATCTCAAAATCGAAAGTATGGACCGGAGTTGCCCTTTAACAAATGTCACTGAATCCTGGGAAAGTAGCGGCAAGCTCCTTGTATGGTCGCCAATTTGGTTCATAAAATCAGCACTTATTCGGTGATTTCTCCAATCTTGATATATTCCACGTACCTATTTCTGTACTTTGTATCACAGAAATAAGCGCGTGGAATGTACGACTGGCCTAGTTTATACAATTCCGCTGACATGTGGATCGAGTTGTGTGAGGCAAAATGGCAGTTGCGTTAATGACCGCGCGCGAGAGCACGCTGCGTCAACAAGGACGACACCTTCCGAGCATCTTGCGGTTCACTTCAGTAAGTGCCCTTGCGGGCCGTCATTTCACAACACTGAGATCCTAGCCAAATATAAAAGCAAAGTGTCAAGGGAAATACGCGAGGCTAAGTCGTGGGAGTGTTTGCATTAGCGAAACTTATTTAACCCTTTCCAAGTATGAATATGTGTTTTTGAAACGCGGGCTGGGCAAAGATGAGTGAAGAGTAGTATGCCTGTCGGGTATATATGTGTACATTTCAAATAAACTTTAGTTGAGAGTGCGCACTGTCTTGTCTTTCTGTCTGTCCGCGTATTTTTCGGCACTTTTCCATCGTGGATATGTACCAACTGGCCCGTATAAGTTTCTTGTTACGATGGTTACTAGTTCAGTTGTTGACCACAGAGTTTGTAAAGTTCGGGCTGCGTCACGTTAGGCAATAGAAGCAAGAACATTTTAAACTGGGACTGTTGTTGCTTTCTCTCTCGATCCCTCTGCAGATTTCGTCCTACTTAATGACGAAGCGCACATCGTGGATCAAGCTGGATCGTGATGGCACGAACAGCCACCACAGTCGGAAGCGCAGCCGCGACATTCCCGTCTTTGCGTGTCTATGGGGTGCTGACCGTTGGGTGTGGCATTCCCTACCTCTTTGTGATGCTCCTGGAGCCGGTCGTTTACCCAGTGATCGTGTGGTCGAAGCATTTAGCGCCGGAAGGTATAGGCGTGGAAAGATCTGTTCAGTCTTGCACGTGATGAGCTTGTTAGCATCTTTCTTGGTGCAGCGGGGCGGCCGGAGCCCCTCTCTGTTCACCGACTTGCACAGGTCTCACAGCCTCGATTTGCATGTAAACACTATATCTACGTCAAATCTGTAGGCTATAGTCTTAAGCCGGTGGGCCACGGTGTACACAGCACGAACCGAAACGTTCGTAAAAAGCAAGAAAGAAAAAAGAGCTTTACTCTTGACATCCGTGAAGCAGTCCTAATGATCTCTCCCCCCCCTACACAAAAATGAGGGGAGAAAAATGAGTGGAGAGGGGCCGCAGGTTCTGCCCCCCCCCCCCCCCCCCCTCCGGCTATGTGCCCGTCCTATGCACTACGTGCGGGTTATTTAAAGAAAGTCTCTATTTTGCAGCCCTGCGAACAACGGACTGCAGAATTGTGTAGCGCAAGGTTGCATTATTTTCAGGATTATTGTGAGGCGTCATGGGCCGGACATGTGTCGACTGGAGCTGCTTTTCATTCGGTTCGACGTGGACTGCAACCAGGACCAGTTTCGCGTCCAGGACGTCCAGATCTGCGGCCGCCTGGACCACTACTCGACCAGTGAGTGGCACACCCCAAGAACCGATATCACTATCTCCTGCCCCTACGCGGGTTGGCACTGAAATAAAAAGTTGAGCAGTGGGTGTGGGTCACACTCTACCCACTAAACGAATTCAGAGTAGTACGACACTTGAGGCATAACGATGCCTAAAGTCATTATTCCTATCGAATAAATCCTAAGCTTTTTCCCCAATCACAGGAAACGCTGTTTCGTTCATCTGAAATGTTCAAGCAGTCTGCGGCTGAGCAAAGCTTAATGACTGATCGTTTTGACAGCGTATCTTAATGTCGCATTTTCGAAGCATAACCAGCACCGGTTGCGCCCATCCTGCCCTCGTCTAAAACATTTGGACCTTTGGGAAGGCCCCTTAGAATACAGTATTTTTAGTTGGCTCACAAAATCCTCTGGACGCCGACAAACCCCCAAACATTCAAGTGTAAGAATGTCATCACTGCAAGCACCCAAACCAATTAGTTATTGGGGCCAATAAGTGCACATAGAACAAACATGGCAACAGAGCGAACAGTAGTGGCTTTCTCATGCTGGTAGAGAATCTCTTGAATGGCCTAGTTAGCATGAACATGACATCAGCGTTATTTTGCATTTTGCTCAGACAGTAACTTTACGGGCTCCAATTTCTACCGCTTAGAATAAGAGTGCACTAAATAAGGACTTTCCACCACGCTGAAATTTTTGATGACAACGGGTCAATTTTAGAAGAACCAGAAAAAAATGAAAGATGTTTACAACACCCTGTAACGCCGAATCAGAGTGCAGCTCTTGAGGAGGAGAAGGGAAGGGTACTGGGGGTGGGGAATACCCCTCCTCCCTCCTCCTCACCCTCCCCTCATGCTTCAAGCCTCTCCTCCTCCTCCCTCCTCTCCTCCTCCTCATCCCTCCTGCTCCCTTTTTTCCTTCTCCTCTTTTCCCTCCACCTCCCCCTCCTTCCTTCTACCTCCTCCTCCGCTTCCTTCCCTCTTCCTCCCTCCCCCTCCCCCTCCCCCGCCTTGTCCTCCTCCCCGCGCGCTGCATCATGGGAGATGCCCCATAATGCACCGGCCGGGACCCTCGTGACGTCACACATGACGTCGCGAGAGTCCCGCGCGGAGCATTATGGGACATTTATCATAACGCACCGCGCGGTTACTCCGACGCCGCTCTAGCCGGAAACGACCGCCTATTGGTAGGTTTACACTTGCGGAGCCGCTAGCGAATCCGCCCGGCTTTTGCCGCTGGGGCGAAACGCTGGGCGGAAAACGCGGCGGCGAGCCGCATAGGTCCCGCTGAACGAGGCGTTTTGCTGACCGGAAGTGACATTCCTGCTCAGCGCGACGCGGCCTACGTCAGGAGTACGCGTTCTTCATCGGATGCAACGTCAACGTGTAGCTCAGGCCTACTTTTCGAGCCAAAACCAGAGACACTGGGGAGCGGCAACACCCGGGAGAGAAAGCAGAGGTGGGAAGTCTCGCGCATTCTGGTCATATTTGACGGGATGTTGCCAGAACTGCTGTCGCAGCCGGCGCCGCCGCCGCCACTCGAAGGAAATAGATGTAGCACAACGTTCCGCTCGTCGCCGCCGCCGCCGGGAGCGAATCCGCTCCCGCGGCATCGGATTTCTTCTCAGGTGTAATGGCGCATTCACACTGGAAGCGGATGCGCGTTCGCGAAGCGGTCGCGGATGCGGTTCGCGAGCGACCCCGTTCAGACACACCGAGAGGTGGTTGGCGGTTTCTCGGCGATCACGCGTGATCTTTTGAGACTGTCGTTTGGCAACCCTGTTTTACAATCCAAAATCCACTTTAATTCAAGATTCAAAGCCAAACGTTTGCTATTTTGGCACTCGGGATATTTTTCTCCGGGATGTTCGCGCGCATCACGAGTTCAGGCAGCGAAAAAAGAAGCATGGACCCGCCAAACTCGCCTGTGATTCCCTCGACTTCGCCCACAAGCAAAGCCCAGCTAGGCGCGCCTTGCTGACTCAGAACAGGATGCCCCTGACCTTTTCTTCGAAGTGGACCCTTCCCGCATGAATAGCTGACCTTGTTTTCGGGATAGAGGGCCAGTTTTCCCCCCTCGTTGTTGTTCGCTCTTATCATTTTCGAAGTTGTGGGCGGTGGGGTGGACCGTGGTGCGGGGGAATGTGTTCGGTGCTAGCCGGTCGTGGCTTGGTTGGTGGCGGACACTCCTCTCGTCACTCGCTCGTCGATCGAGTCTACTGTTTGTTTGACATTAAGCTCAAATAAACGCCGTATGGATTACCTCTGCATTGTCTGGCACGTACACTTTATTCCTTGAGTAGGTTCCCTTTATTTATTTTATTAGTAGCAAACGTTACAGGTCGAGCTAGCGCAGGTACCCTGCCCCCTCCGCGGTAGTGCGTTGGCTACGCAATCAAGCTCACGACGTCTCTATCGGCCTTCGTGGTAGTCATGCACGGTGTCGAAAGCTTTCAATAGTTCACGCGACTATCCTAGTGGGTAGAAAAGCTGACATTTCGGTCGATCAGGGGCGGGTTCCGACGTTCTACGGGCAGAGACTAACAAGGCAGCGAGCTTGGGCTTGTGGCACCCGGAATAATAAACAAACTTTTACCCGAACCAAATCACCGGTGCGAAGCTCGTTAAATTTACGAGTCACTTCTTTTCGCGGCGGATTCAAGTGACAGACGTGAATATGAAGTTTCTCCGATGATTTGTCGAAAGCTAAGGCTACAGCGCTAGGACTACAGTGCCTTCGACGCGTCACCAGCGACAGGTGCCATCTTGTTTTGAAAGTCACTGACGTCACATCAGCGTCGCGTTGTGATTGGTTGCCGCTTTGCGGTTCGTGAGAGCGGTTGGGAGAAATCGGTCCCGAAGCGGTTGGCAAAAACGCGCTCCAACCGCTCGATCCTAGCCGCTTTGCGGCTGAGAACGCGCGGATCCGCTTCGCGAACGCGGATCCGATTCCAGTGTGAACGCGCCATAAACGTACCACAAGAGGTGCGCTCTAAAACGCAATTACATCTTCGCGGTAACACTGCCCCGCTGTTTTACAGGAAGCTACGAGTTCGACGGACCAGAGATGTATATCTACTACCACTCCTCATCGGATGGCAAAGCATCTGACTTCCTTATCAAAGGCCGCCAGACAACCTGCACCGGCGCTCTGCCACCGCCACCACCCCCGCCTCACTCGCCGGGACCCCCGCCAGCTCATGGCCACGGACACGAGTATCCTCGGCACCACGGAGGCGTGCCTCAGGGAGGATACCCTCCCCCACCGCCGCCTCCACACTACCCACCGCCGCCGCCACCTGCGCACTCGATACTCGGGCCCCGGCCGTCCCATTATCCTGGGCCGCCGTCGCACTATCCACCCCCATCGCCCCACTACCCACCGCCGTCCCAACTGTATCCACCGCCCTCTCAGCAGTACCCACCACCGGCACCCCACTACCCTCCGCCGCCAGCACATCCGCCCCCTGCCGGGGGCGCCCGCGGCTACCCCGGACAGCACGGCTTGCCCGATCCGCGGATTCCGCCACCGCCAGCGCCGCACCACGGACATCCCCCGGGCCCCTGGCCACAGCAGCCGTCACCGCCGTCTGGAAGACGTGAGTTCCTTTTGTGATTTGTGACGTATCTCTATGTAGGTTTCGGTTTTCTATCTGAGCGCATCTTTGCGCCGGCGGTCCTGGGCCCCGTGGGCGAAGCGCGCAGCTACCTCATCGCCTCCCTCGCAGGAGGGAAGGAATTGTGCCGCACATGTGTTGCGCACCTCGGCCATATGGGTCAGGACTGCTGGCAGGAAGATGCGGAAAAAGAAACCTAGAAACGTGTCCAGATGGAATGTGTTTTCGTAGTGCAATAAATGCAATAAAATGATATGTGTGCCTTCTATACTTCTAAAATATGTTGATTTATTGGTTTCCTGTGATGCTCGTCAAATACCTATAAATTTAATAATTAAAAATTAATTTCTCCAGACTAATTAACAAACTAATTATAACGAACAATATTCGCTTCTCCTAATGGGCCCTTTGGCGGAAACCAATGCGACGATAAACTGTTTTTGTGCGATACATACTTTTCGCAGGCACGATTTGGCCCACAATTTTAGAAATGCCCTGTAATGTCTGTTTGGGGGATGGGGGGGGGGGGGGGGGGGGGGGACTCTTTGTTACATCCAAAATGATTCAGTGTGTTTGCTTCTCCCGGTCCACATCACCAAGTTTACATTAAAAGATGAGGGTTAAGATATTTTGTTTTATTTGAGGGCGGGTACTTAACTAATACCTTATTTCACAACAAAGCGATTGAGGAGGTTGGGGAAAAGCTGAAAAATCTGCTTGCCCAATTCTCCTGCCCAGAAATCGTTCAGTTCAAGATCACGAAAGCATACAGTACAATACCTACATTGCGCAAAAATACTCCGCACAGAAAGAGAAACATTATTATGCAACGCATTTAGACGGAAAAAATATAGTGCACAATGGAACAACTCAGATACCGGCTATACATTTAAACAAAAAATGCACACTGCAGTTTCTATATAGTCAAATTCGCACCAAAACATATTAACATCAAATATCTTTTTGATGTTAATTCATGTCGTATATAAATGTTTATGAAATTCAAAAATGTTGGTGGTTACGTTTTATGATTTGTTTTCCATAACTTTATCTGCACGAACAAATGATCCAAAAACCGGTGCTACGTGTGGGACATGTGACCGTTTTTCTAGAGGAACATGCCCACTGAAAAAGAAAATGCGTATGTTTTCACATTTTGCTTTTATAGCCTAGGCTTGCACGATATGCATGCATGTTGCTAATCTAGATTATACAATATTTCTGAAACAATGGAGAAGGGGGTTGGTCATTTATGAAACGTTTTCTATATTTAGTAGCATTTTGTTACGGTAATATGTGCATTTTGCAAGTTTTTGAGTGTTCCCCCCGCTCAATGAGTGTAATTTATGTGCGAATGAAATAGTGAGTTGTATAGTTGTAAGAAGTTTGACTGCAGGAGGTAAAGTGGGGCGACGTATTGAGGTTAAGCCTTCGAAGCTTACAGTTTCCACGCCACCGTAGTTTTTATGCTTGTCCCAAGTTATCTGATATGTGAGTAACACGCCAAGCCTTTTAAAAATGTTGACTATTTCTATTTTTGAGTTTCACACATTATACCTTTGTCGATACCTGTACTTTTGCTCTTGGATCGAAGGAGTACGGGCTTTGTTTTATGGGCGTTTATTTCTAACTTATTAAATGTACATTTTTCCTAGCGTAGAAGTTTTTTTTACTAGTTCGGAAGTACATTTAACTCAAAAAGGAATGTGATGCTATTGGCATAAATAATTTTTTTTTCTTGTTTTATCTATGTTTATAATATTTTTGAAATGTATAAAGTAAGAACGGACCTAAAATGCTTCGGGGGGGCTCACGGGATAAAATTGGTTCTGTGTCGAAAAAGGATATCTGGTAGCCCACTTTTTTTGCGGCCGCATAACTACGACATTTAGACCATAGAAGCTTTTCCACGAAGAGCTTTCAAGTGTGTCCTCGCATCTACCGCACTAAAAACGCGAGCATGGCACGCTTTAATCGATTCAAATCCAATCTGGGATATTTCCCCCGAAATAACGTTGTAGTGTTGTTACGGGTCGAAGCTGAGCAGGTTGGTTCATAATTATTGAAATTACCCGCTGAACATAAGAGAACATAATAGTGCATAAGGAATATTTACTTTTTGTGGGTGATTTAATTCTCTTATGTTCAACTGGTAATTCAAAGAACGTTGCAAAATATCCTTGTTTATAAAGTATTCCGTATTACTGTAGAAGTCGGGAAACACTACTCAAAAGTTAAACTTGGCCGAATTCTGCAGAAACGTACAAAAGTTGGATGAATCAGTCGAATGTCGAGGTTTTATGGAGAACCACAGGTTCTGAAAACGTTTGGTCGAGAATTTCGTAGATACGCCGGCGCCAGCGCGAGCACGTGTGCCTGCATGAGCCAAAGTTTTGTCAAAGGCATGAAGCTGGCGCTGGATGGCCGACGAACACTCAGCCTGTGAGCGACTCTAGTTGTCCTCCTTCGACCGACCCTTGTTCAGCGGAGTGGACTCCCCCCGCCGGCGGCCCTCCGGCGCCCGGTCCCAGGATGAGCGACGGGGCCCTGCCCGTAGACAACTGCGACCGGACCTTTATGGAGCTCGAGTTCACCGTGAACAGCCCCAACTTTCCGGGCCCGTACCCCGGGCGCACCATCTGCCGATACATGGTGCGGCGCTTCGACAGCGCCACCTGCGCCATTGAGGTGCTCTTCACCAAATTCGACATGGAGAGCAACCCGGACTGCCAGTACGAGCACCTCGAAGTGGACGGCCGCAAGCTGTGCGGCACCCTTCCGGAAAACACCGTTCGTGAGTTCATCCCTCCGCTCTCCTCGGGCTTCCTCAGCATTCCGCCCTTGTTGCCACACTCGTTTTCACATCAGAAAGAAAGAAGTTTTGCACATTGTTCATACGCCGCATTAAGTAGTTCTTACAAGAGCCGCTTGTCGGAGGAAGAGGCCATGCTTTGGTTTTCGAAACGTCTCGATAATATAGCTTATATATCATCGAAAATGCACCTACCTTTATCGTATTTCTCTACATAAAGAGACAAATGAGTAATGTTCAACGAGGGACTTTTTTTTTCAACGGTTCTTGAGGCGAAAACGAGTCTAGTTGGCAGCGCTACCAACGGCAAAGGGAGCTACATTGCAGAGACCCTCTTCTTTTAAAGGGATACTGAACCGAAATTTTGAGCTCACTAAACGAGGCCGGGTGGCTAAGCGGGAAGCTGCAAAAACAAAAAAAGAATCATTATACTGCGATATGTCTAACGGATCGCCGTATTTTTTTGGAAAAGAAGTGCGCGATTGAACCCGGCCGACGAGGCCGACGAGACAAGGCACCGTCACGACTCCCATTCTCTCTCCTCCTCGCTACGTCCCGTCAAGCTGGTGAACCGAAACGAGGAGAAGAGAAGCGAGACCGCTTCTCCTCATTCGCTGATTCTCCCAGAGGACAGCTACGTCAAAGAACTCCCTTGATCGCGCCCTTCTTTTCCAAAAGTACGGCCATCCGTTTGAGATATCGATGTACGACGAGTGATGTATTGGGGTTCGTAGCCTGCCGTTCAACACTTCTGCAGCTTTGCTTTGCGAAATCCATATTTCGGTTCAGTATCCTTTTACTGCCTGTCTTACACATTGGATTTATCGTGTCTCTAAACGCTAACATGACTGGCGTCATCTATCAGCTGGCCCTGAAATACTTCCGAATCGTGTAACTGAATGTTTTGTATTATTTGAGAGATAAAATCTACGCGTTATCAGCGAGAAATAGACGCTTTAAAGGGTGGTGCAACGACATTCAATTGGAATGTTTTTCACTTTACACGAGCTTACTGGCACTGGTGGGACTCAAGGATACTCGCACGCAACGCCATTGACTAAGAAACTCCTTTGTTGCTCTGCAATTTCGAGGACAAAACCGAGTGTTTTCTTTTAATCTCTCCTTCGCAAAACCTGATGACGTAGCTGCCCAGTGACGATATCTGAATGCGGGTCATAGATTGGACCCGAGCATTGCGTGGGCACTCGATTTGGGCTCGTGATAATCGATAGCTCGAGACGCATTCCGGTAGTGTCCTGTGTCCAATCAGTGCAATGACGACAACAGCCGAACCATAGCAATGACTGGAACTCAGCGCGTGTCCTGTGCCTTGCCAACCCCAGCGCATGGCTATGATCAACATTGGCGGCATATAATCGGCTCCAGATCACGTGGCCGCATGTTCTGGCTGTGAATGGAGGGGGTGAACTCTGCTCGTTTTTTTTTCGTTTTTTTTTCTGCGACTTTAATTGCGTGTGGTGAAAAACGAACGGGTATTTCACAGGTCATTAACGTCAGGGATCCGTTCTAAATGGTATTTGCGCAAAATACAAAAAAATCGTTGCATCGCCCTTTTAATATTGTTATAATTATTTTAAAAACAATGTGGAAAGTGCGCGTAAAAAATATGAAAATATATACGCAGGTTGGAAGTGTTTCGGGCCTTCCCAATATATGGCGCCAGTGTGCTACGAGAGGAGTCTGCACACTCAAAACATGAAAACCAAATGTGCCAAGCGGCCTTCATGCGCAAGCCCCTTCCGCGCTTTAACCCTCTCCCGTATGTCTCCATCTCGCTCCCGAGGGCAGGTGTCGCACCTTTAACTTTTGAAAGCTACCGCCGTGTCTTGCCTTGTTCCGTTTGTATCCTCGCATGATTCCCCAGAAAGAGATGTTCGCCAATAAAGGAGACTACGCGTTGGGTTATCCCTGCCGCTGTTTTGTAACTTCGTAGTGAGTGCCAGTTCAACAAATTCGATGCTGTTCCAGTTATAAGTGTGTTCTTTTCAAAATTAGAAAATGAGTAACGCAAGAAACTAGGACGACGCTGGTTGGCACACTCTCCGCTCGGAGGTTGCCAGGGGATCAAGATTTTCAAATCGAACGCTTAAACAGATAGGAAAGACATGGGAGCAAAACGCGTAATGTGGACGCCTGCTTTTGAGCAACCGCCTCGCAAACGCGTCAGTGTCGTTCTAGAGGACGAAGTTCAAGTATTACGTAGCCGCTCGGATGTTCGACGTGTGTTTTCACAGAAATCTAGATAACGCTTTCTGTACGCATGCCTTCCCAGTCGTGCTCACTCGCAATGAATAAGTGATTAAAAACCGCATTCATCATCTTAAATGTGTTTCGTGGGACGTCTAGAGCAACCTCGAAAAATTAATTACGTTGTTAGACTATTCTGAACTTTATTGTTCACCAAAAGCTTTCAAAATTTGCAAGGTGGGAAAGGTGAACGTATGTTTATTTCTATGCATAAACTGGTATATAGATATTTCAGATCACAAATCATGTCTAGAATTTTAGGGCCTCCTGTTCTCAGGGTGCGGGATTTCTGGTTTATTGAGGTGTTGATAGTCGACCCGCTGGACTGGATGTTGTGTTATTTCCATATTCGGTTTTTTACAAATGCTATTAGCCAGAGCCGTATATGAGGAGAGTTTGGTCAGTCTATAATCTCGCCGCCGTACCGCTCTCCTCCCGAGCGAGCCAATCAGCACGCGCCGCAGAGCGAGAGGCATGAGCGCATGCGCGCGAACTCTCGGCTACTCGCAGCCGAGTGGGGAGGGCCGCCATTTTCGTTCATTCTCCCGGCGGAATGCATGGGATCGGCATCTAAATCTCGACTATTTCCTTTTATATGGCTGGCTCTGGCAAGAAAAGAATATACTGTTATTCCTCGGTGGGTTAAAAATTAATAAATGAAGTTTGATCGACGCATGGCCACAAACTTTTATTCAGGCGAAAAAGAAGTCGCCCCGTAGCACACGACGCGTAGCCTCAGCAGTGCTCTTCTCCGACCAGTCTCCGACAGCGTTGCGGGAAAATGGCGGTCGGCTCCTCTCTGCTCCCTTCTTTCTCTCTCGCTCCTTCGGCGCTCTCCTCCCTTTCATTTACGTTTCTCCTCTGCGGCGCCTTCGTCGCCACACCCACTGGCCAAACTCTCCCAATATACGGCTCTGCTGTTAGCTACAAACAGCCAGCAGGCCTAGTGGCTGGTGCACCAGGAGGTAAATAACAGTAGTGTAGAGGTAGACACAAAACCACCAAAACGGGAATCTAGAAAAGAATGAACATCCTAGGACATCTCCGTGGTGCACTGTGTAAACGCGATCGAAATACCCGACAGCCATGCTTCGTTTTACCTTAAGTCACGTTACCAGGACTCTCAGCCGGAAAACTCACACTTGAATTCGGGGCCCCTCGCATCTACCGAAATCGAGCTAGATACAATTACAGCGCCGCCTTTCAGCGGGTATTCAAAACATCAAAGTTGATTTATATAGCTACGGCGAGTCGGCGCTGCGAGCGACCCGCAACCAGAGCCGTTTATACTGTGAGAATTTGACCAATGGGCGGAGCTTGTTGCCCCCCTAGAACCAGTGATGCTGGTTGATGGTTGATGGTTGCGAGCTTCGCGTCCGATGACTGAGGAAGCGTGCCGTCTCCGGTGTGAGCGTTACCTTGTTCCATGTTGCTTGAGGCCGTTTGAGAAGCCGACGCGGGGCCTTCAGATTCCGAGTCACCGATTTATAGCGCGTTCTTTATCGAGGACGGAATGGATGCTACGACCGACTCTGGCCTTTGGTGAAAACGTTATTCTGGTTCTTTCGTACCGACAGGCTCGTAGCAACGATTAGCGTCGTCGTCTTTTATCGACGGCGCGGCAGGCCGATGGACCACCACAGGCGCCATTAACTTGGAGCGTTAGCCTTTGAAAAAAAACAAACAAAAAAAAAACAACAAAAACAATGCAGTAATCTTCAGTATCACCTAGGAAGACAACGCGTCAAATATTACGACCTAGCCTAGTAGAAATGTTTCTTAAATGGTCCTGCAAACTTCGCGACACGTTAAGTTACCGAAATCGGATGACTTTAGCGGGCGAATCGAGGCGCAACCAACAGCGCACTCAAGGCTACGGCGTGGGCGTAGCAAACGTTGGACTAAACATCATCACCATCGCTTCTTTTTGTTTGTTTTTGCTTCCCCGAGCGAGCGAAACGCGTGTCGTCAGCAACGTTTCCTCCCAGCGCTCATTGGCGTGAACGTAATTGGCGTAATGCGCATGCGGAGAGCGCTTCTTGGGAGCCGTGCGGCCGTCCCGCCGTTACCACCGTCTCCCTCGTCAGAGCCGCCGTCGTCATCTCACCGTTTGTGATTAGTTTCTTGGAGATCCGTAGACAATACGTGCGCAGACTGATGCCGCAGTGGGCAGATGTCGCCGAATGTCGTAGACACCAAAACGTTGTGAACAGTCCGGTGCAGACGACATTTGCGTTTGGCACACAGGCGGAAGGGCGTAGAGAATCACGTGACATGGCGTACCACATAATAGCCACGTTTTTGACTGCCGAGGCGAATGTTGCCAGACGGAGTCGAAGTTTTAGTTTAAATTTCTGATCTTGTTTAAATTACGATTTAACCATATATTTTCAATTGTTTGCGAAGCAAATGGCGCAGTGCCTTTCATTCGAGCTTTTTAATGTGCAATGGTGTGGTATCCCGATTTTTTTTAGGAATTGAGCGGAGTTGCCTTTTAAGGTGAAAGGAAGTGTAGCAAAGGCCAATTCCTTCTCGCGTGACTTGCAGAAAAGTTCCCCTTCTTCCAACCGGAGACGGAGAAGGTGCTGGTGTTCCGCTCGGACCGCGGCAGTCCCCGGCCCGGGTTCTCGATACGGGTGCGTCAGGTGACCGACTGCGCCGGGGGCACCAGCTGGATGCCTGGCAAGGACAAGCGTAAGCAAACCCGCCTCGGGCATCGCGAGCGCTCTTCGCTCATCAAAAGAAAGGCAGCCACAGGCCAACGAACGGAGCACAATGAAATACATCTCAGAGAGGTGTCTCTATGTGGAGCATTTATCGTACTCAAATTTTGTGACTGCAGGGGTCTGGAAACAAAATTCAAAAAGACACAACGAGCAAGTGTTCTTTCTATGCAGGGTAATGGAAGTAATGCAATGAGGAATTCCGACTCTAAATTAATGATTGACGCGCAGTGAAAGAGCTGGACTTAACGCGAGTTTGTCTTTCATTGAAGCATCGAAATTATAAAATTTGTAGAAAAGGCAGAGACGATAGATTTTTTGGTGTAATGAAAAAGGAGGAAGTGGTAAATTAATCTTCGAAGCTGAGACATTAGTTGAGCAATGATAGCGAATATGAACTGGGCGGCGCGATTCTGTAGTTCCTCAAGGTTAGCCACGTGGCTTGTGAGACCTGTATCTTAAAGACTACTTTCAAACAAACAAGTTTTTTTCTTTACTTTGGCAGTATTAAACACAATGGGGCTAACATAAAATGACTCCTCAAGTAACCAAGGATAAAATTGGTGTTATCGATAATGTGATCCGTAGGCGTTTTCCATCATATGTTAGAAGTGATATGCACGCCAAGCAGGTTACAGCTTTAATAGGAATGTCAGAAATTAAGTAAATAGAGGATGTAGTGATTCTACAAAAGATTTTTACAGCTTTACCTTTTTTTAGTATTAGAAGACATTTGCCACTAGTCACACTATTCAGCTACCGCGTGCGTGTAATTTTGAAGGAAAAGACGTCAGTATTATCAGTAATTTCACGATAATATGCATAATCATCTGCGAAGAGGCTAAGAAATGGAGGTAGACAGAAGTCATTAACGTAAATTAAAAACAATAAGGGCTCCAAAATAGAACCTTCCGGAACACCAGAAGTAACAGATTTCACAGAAGAATTTACATTGTTAGCGTTAACAAACTGAGAATTAGTTTAAAAAAAAAAGAACACGTAAAGCAGGACAGCTTGTTAGGGTCGAGGTTAAGTTGACTGAATTTAAAAAGTAAAGGTTTATCAGGAACTTCGTTGAAGGTTTTGCAAAAATTGAAAAATACACGCAATTAATCTGAGATCCATGGTCACGTATGGAGAGCAGATCTTTGGTGAACGTCAGTAGTTGAGTCTCACAAGAAAGCTATCTGCTAAAACCATGTTGTGAGGGGAAAATTAAGAATAAGAGTCTAAGCAGCTAACCAAATGAGTGAATATTATGTGCTCTAAATGTTTCCAAGGTGTGCTGATTAAGGAGATGGCGCGGCAGTTAAGAGGGCTGCGTTGATCACTAGACTCACAAAGTGAAACCACCTTTTATATTTTCCACTCCTCAGGTATTACACCAAAAGCAAGGAATTGCTGAAAAATCATGAAAAGATAAATTGGGATATACATTTTTGTGCTCTTAAGAAGCTTAAAGTTTATATTGCTAAGAACAATGTCAGAATATTATTTCAAGTTATCAATCAGCTTTACAATCCAGTCATCGTCAATAACCAGTGGCTCCATTGAAAGAAAGTAAAAATTAGGGTACATAGGGGGGGGGGCAATCTTCATATTTACAAAAAGCTTTTACAAATATATGAATTAGAGCAGAGGCACAATGATCATTTGGGATAACAACCCCATTATTCTCAGTGAGCGAGGAGTGCGCTCCTTTTTTTTTCCAATTCGTAACACCCTAGAACTGTTTTGTACTATTAGGTGAGCTAGAGGGTAAGGTCACACTAAAATTTTTTGCTTGGCGTCCTCGATGGCTAATTTATAAGAATCCTCCGCTACGTTATAAGTTTCCCAACTACAAGATAGCTTTACAGTACGAAACAAATGTTTCTTTCTACCATTAAGGCGCTTAAGTTTTACATTAAACCAAGCAGACAGCGAATTAGACTTAATAGAACTATATGGAATGTACAAGTTAACTAGACTAATTTATTTTTAAATATGGTTCGATTGCTTTCAATCAAACGTTTCGAGAAATAAAGAAGATATTCATCAAGGAAGCCAGCTAATTCATTTATTTTATCAAAATGTGCCTTATTACAATCAAAGAAATGTTTTGTTGATTTATTTGAAATAAAGATTGAAGTAAGCGAGCTGAATTGTCGAATGGAATAATCGCTAATACCCAGTAGGTAGATTATGAAAGAGGCAAGTTGAAAGTCAGAGGAGAGAGTGAGATCTAGTACAGTGACCCTTGAATCACAGACTCGAGTGGGTTCAGCAACAAATGGCAAAGACAAACATCCAAACACAGGTTGAGTAAGTCGGAGTAAATTGCTGAATTGCAAGTAGTAGTCGAAGTGCAGTGAATAAGCGGTAAAGTAACATCGCCGACTAAAAACGAGGGTGCAAGAGGAAGCCTAGTTGCTGTTGCGCATAACGGGTCATAGAAGTCAGATAAAAAATAAGTGGGCACATTAGGCGGATAAAAACAGGCGCACAAAATAACATTTCTACGGGTAGAGTTTAGACGTACGCCAACCAGATCAAGTGGGGGGGCAATATATACATGATAACATTCAATATTTTCATTTACTGTGATTATATCCAGCGGTTACCCACGTGTATCAAGTCGGTCACACCGGTGAAATCAATAATTAACAAAGTAAAACATTTTATTCTCGCCAACAACACCCGAAAGCCAAGTTTCGGTTAAAATGAGAACATCGCTTGATGACGCATCAATAACGAACGACAAGTCATCGCGGTTTTGAAGAATACTTCTTATAAAAATCGTAAGGGTGCAGGCGAGCTGGTGAATATTAACCATGTTGAATTAACCTGAGACTGGACAGGAATTTGAGTTTGAGACGTCGTCCTGTGTATTTTCTGTCCCTTCTACGTTTTGATATTTCTACTCTACCCGAGTCTCAGGTTAATTCAACGTACTTCTTATAAAGCGGTTATAAACATAACTGGAAATGTTGTGTGAAACAAATTTGGAATAAAGCGGTTGTTTAATAGCGACATTATTTAGCTTTCAAGTCGCAGGTGTGATATTGGATAGTTTAGCTTGTTTCCGCTGCTTTTATAAATTTCGCTAATCTCAGGATTAAAAAAAAAGAAATCATTTCTTCTACATCTAGAGCTTGTTAACGTGAAATTTTCAATCACATCTCTTTAGGTTCGGCCAAATTCTAAGAGCTTTTTTCTGGAGAATTGTGAATTCTTTGGATAGTCCTCGGTAACCGAAACATTGGTATATTTTAGCTTGGAGCATGATCTTAACTCAGCTTCTTTATATTTATAAAAAAAAAAATAATTTCGATCATAGTCGGTGTTTAGCAGGTTTATACCTGCCATTTCGATTGTATCGGGGTTAATATATTTGCCAAGACTTTCATTGCATACGTTGCGGACTAGTTTTTTTCCGAATCGGCCCAAGTTTCTTTAGCAACGTTCCGAAAAAAAAAAAAAACTAAGAATGACGTGAACGGCTATCGGCATCGTCGGAACGCTGCTTTAGATATACTATCTTGGAAAGCAAAGACGGCATCCTTGTCTCTTCATCGCCATTTACTTTAAATTTGCCAATTGCAAGATCAGTTTCTGTAGTCCCAACAGATATTGCTTGAGCTTGCGAGTCACTTGTACATTTATTTTCTTCAGCTATCTCTTCTAATTGATTCGCAACACGTGCATAGCCTTCGTGTAATTGGACAAAAAGATTCAATCTTAAACACTGACTGTGCCTCTTCCTGAATCGTGGGACGAGGGTTACATTCGATGTCACCACATAGAAGCAATAACAGGTCAAGAAAACGCTTTAGACACACCCGTGGGCACGGTAGAAAAACATGAAAAACGTCGTTGCAGCTAATGGAGCACGGAAGTTCATTTCTACTCACCTGCATAGTGAACAGAAGTGGGATGTTAAGCGACATGTTCTTGGCCTCGTAGCCGCGCCCACTGGATAACGATTCGCGCGATGCTGCTTTCGCTGATATCGCGATTGATGTCGATGCTCGCGGAGCTGCCCTCATTGGCCACATTGGCGGAAGATGAACCGGAAACGTTCCGGTGTAGAAGTGATTGTCACGAAACGTGAAGCTGAAGGAATCAGTAGGGCTGCTTCTATCGCCTCAACTGATGCGCTGGTACTTCCCGTGTGGTTTCATGCAATGCCACCATCGTCCGTCAGAAACAGGAGTGGTGGCCGCGCCAGTCATGTTACGTAGCGTCATGTTCCCGTCGCGTCATGTTCGTAGCCTGGTAGTTGAGCGTGATAGACGCACCAACTAAAACAACTTTACGAAAAGGTCCAAATTATTTCGCTTACTGGTTCATTATGTTTTTTACGACTAAATATCACTCGTGAACTACCTGTAGTTATTAATTTACTCGAACCTCGTAATATGACCCAACACATTTGGATTAATTTATTTTAAAATTGTGCGCAAATTTTAATATTTGCAATTGCATGAGCATATGCAAGAGTTTCTTATGAAATGCCTTTCTTGTACGCACGAAGACAGTTTCATAATCCTCCTATATTTCCTTGGAGTTAAAGTCGTTACCAAACGGAATAGCTGAGAGACACCGAGCGGTCTGCGCACAAGAACCATTTACATTCATTGTCGCCTTTTGAGAAAATGATAAGAGATTTGCTAGAAATTAAAACAAAATGCACTAAAAATCTTCGTAATGGGTAATTTCCACGAAAGCGACGAAGGCTAAAACGAATAAAAAAAAAACATCAAATTTTCGAGAAAACCAAAACGTGACAAAGGTTCATAGAACAAATCCTGTTTCACATAAGTGCCTCGCCGTGCACACTTTAAGAAATCTGAAGTTAATAGAAAAATATAGGCAGGCTCGTTTTCCCTTAAATTTTGACACGATTTTATGTGACATACTTGTTATGTCAGATCTGCGAACATATCAATACTTTGCCTTATTTTTTAGTGTTACGATGTAAACAAATTTTGAACCCAGCAAATATTGAACCGCGATTTCGCGATGAATGGCTTAATCCGAGAGGGTATGTGTAATGGCACTAAAAGAAATAATGAGTGAATTTTGAAGTGTCTCATAATTATTAAGTATTGGCGAGAAGACCGTACTATAACTGGCACTCTGACTTGTTTGTCCTCCCCACAGATCACTGCTTACCGAACACAAGGCCTGTGGACCTCAATAGAGCGCGAGGCACAGTGTAACGCAAAAATAGTAACAATAAACGAAGTGACGTTTATAGTTAGTGCCGGATCCCCCCTGAAAGTAGCGGTCAGAGAATGCGAGCTTGAGCCACTTGGGCGTTCGTGTTGGGCATGAGAACCGTGCATGCTGCATCGTTCATGCATGCAGTTTTTTGCCATCATTTTTTATATATAAAAAAAAGAACTAGACCTTGATATTTCACGCTCTACAAACTGACCTGGTGAGTGCACATTTGGTGGACATTTGAATTTTGTACATGCAGGCGTGGGTTTTCTGGTTAGTTTTACGGAGTAAGGTCCGCTTGAGACTTTCTCTACTAGAAATTACTCCGTAAATTAGTGCTTTTTCCGTCACATTCCGCTTTCACCCTGTGATTACTGTGATCTATTGAAACAGCCAGAGGACTGTGGCACCGCATGTATTAGCAGGAAATAATGATTTTACAGCTTGGACCCAATTGTGCTTTGACCATTTGAGAATACCGCAAAGAAATCTATTTCATGGAGGTTCACGCTACAATTGAGTTCAGAATTGACAGTGTGAGTTGCACATTTATCGTCTGAAACTGTAAAACTATTGGCTAATTTGAATTTAAAAAAAAAACAAAAAAACTAACGCCCAGCTTATCTTTCTTTTTAGCGAAATCATTAAATGCCAATATGAGACATGACGCGCTTATATGAAATAATAATAAAAAAAATACTTTTAGCGTTATTGCGCCCTGCCATTCGATGGTTTCACGAGAACTAGGCTGAGACCATGTAATGGAAGGTATTCATGTTTTTGTGTTTAATACAGATGAATGAATTCTTCCATATTTGTAGAAATCAAAGGCACCACATCATCACGCGCCTACACCAAATTACATTGCAAATGAAATATTGTACCGATTTATGCAATCCATTAAAAGTGCCCACGCGCCATCGGGTTAACGCTTCACATATACACGCAGACCTTAAAGTTTTATGCCATATTGTTTTTATTTAAACTGTGGCTACCGACAGGCGTGGAACCGAATCTTTGAAACCTGAGCGTAAGAACTGCCCACGTGCCCGATGTTATCGTCGTGTTGCAGCCCCTCCGCCGCCCAACCCGCTGTGCGACTACTGCCAACGCGAGCAGCGGGGCCAGCTGTCCAGTCCCAACTACCCGCAGCCGTACGGGCCCAACACCCGCTGCACTTACCGGATAGAGCCAGTGCCGGGTCACTGCCAGGTTGAGGTGTACTTCCACGACTTCGACGTCGAGAGCTCGCCAGGCTGCCAGAAAGACTTCCTCGAGTTGGACAAGACTCAGCGCAACTGTGGGAACGACCTCAACAAGGCGATACGTGCGTACAATCCCAATCGACCCCGAAATAAGCTGGTTCATTACCGTTCAATCTGCGCTTTGCATAGACTACCTTCTGCTCTAACCGTCTTGGCAGTTTGGGCCAAAAAAAATTCAATTTATTTCGATACAGCGTTGCCAGATCGGAAAGTGGTTGGGAAACGTGCTCTTATCGAAATTTGACAGGACAGTAAACTTAAAATTTGAAAGGCCTAAAAGGTTCCAGGCAGATCTATTATGAATAGTGTTTTTACAAGGCAAATATATATATATATATATATATATATATATATATATATATTCACCCAATCAGAGTCTGTTTGTCGAAAGTACATATATCGTATATTCACCCAAAGAGTTTAACGTGCTCAAGCTAATGAAGAATACGGTAACATTCACGCTTACGCGTGAATCGGGGATATGATGACGTCAATTTCGTTGCGTGTTCTCGCGCACACCGGCGGCTGCTGGCTCGTGGAAAGATCGTGCGCCCCGTATTATAGACACTGAAATGTTTGTTTCAGCATTCCTTTAAATGGCCGGATACTGAAATGAAAATAGAAATATACGTTTCACGTTCAGAAATGGGTCAAATATGATTTAATCATCTATTTGTTTTAAATATTGTTTTGGTGTCTTTTTGATAAACAAATTTCGTCTGTGTGGTGTGAAAAGAACGTTGTCGACATTTGGACAATGAACCGATTTCATTAAGCATCGAGCGCATGCATGACTTTGGTCACGGTGGAAGGAACACATTAAGTGAGGACTCTGGCCGTTCTTCCTGCGGGAAGTGACCGAACAAATCGTTTTCGAAGCTAGCCTCGAAACAGGAGTAGTTTGTGCCGCGCCGCCGCGGAGGGCGCTGCGGTATTGGGTGCCTTCTGGGCCCGTTTGCTCGAAGCGCTAACCGCGGCTAAAGTTAGCCGCAGTACCTAGGAGAGGGATTTTGGGATCACGTGAATGGGGCTCGCCAGGGATGCGGGGAAACATGGCGGTGCCCCAGTGAGTGAGCGCCGCTCGCTTTGGAAATAATATGTCGTTGTCGCTGCAATATCGGGCGCGTTAGTCAGCAACGAATGGTGCAGGAGGCTTTCGCTTTCCTTTACCTCACTTAAACCGCAAAGCATGGGCGATGACATCGCCGCATTTTTTAGATAGTCTTTCGATTCTGGGCATTCCTAAGCCTAAATGAACGCGATAATTGTCGGCATGGCAACATCTTTGGAAAGCGGATTGTTGATAGCACACAAAAGCAGACAGCGTCCCAACAGACATTTTTTCTGAATTATCCAAACACCGAGGTGCATGCTACGACTGTAGTTGCACGCGTCACACGTGCTGGCGTCTGCAGTAGTAACCGTTCTATAGCAAAAAGTATAAAACAAATTTTGCCTTGCACGCGCGTTCGTTAAAGCCTTATTATTATTTTTTACTTCGAATCTTTTATAAGAGGAAGGCCAGCGCGTGTGGACCGTAGAATCACACTTCCAGCGTCCTCCTCGCAATGCTTGGATAATTTAGAAGGAAGTCTGTTGGGACGCTGTCTGCTTTTGTGTGCTATCAATACCCGACCGATTCAGTCAAGGCAATCCGCTTTTCAACAACGTTGCCCTGCCGACAATTATCACGTTCATTTAGGCTTAGGAATGCCCAGAATCGAAACACTATCTAAGAAATGCGGCGATATCATTGCCCATGCTTTGCGGTTTAAGTGACGTAAGGCAAAGCGAAAGCCTCCTGCACCGTTCGTTGCTGACTAACGCACCCGATATTGCAGCTACAACGACATATTATTTCCAAAGCGAGCGGCGCTGACTCACTGGGGCGTCGCCATGTTTCTTCACATCCCTACCGAGCCAGTGACGTGATTTCAAAGTCCCTCTCCTAGGTACTGCGGCTAACTTTAGCCGCGGTTAGTGCTTCGAGCAAACGGGCCCTGGGTGGCCACGGTGTCGGCGGTGTAGCGTGCTTGCCTTTTTCGCGGTGTGGTGGTGTGGCGGTGGAGTGCGGCCGGTGGCTGGCCTCGTGTTTTGTTTTGGTGCTGTGCTGATCACAGGTGCCACCATCGTGCACGAAGGTGAGCCTTAACCAGAAAAAGGAGGAAGGGAACACAGATTTACGGACTTCGGTGACTTGGTGGCGGCGTGGCGGCGGTGAGGTACAACAAGATGTGGTGAGCGAGGGAATGCGGGACCACCGCTGGGACAAACAACCGGAGCGGTCGGTTTTGGGGGAACGCCAAACTTGGGCGCCATCTATCCCCGTGCGAGTGAAGCGTGATCGGTACGCCGAACATAATGTGGCCGCCGCGTCGGGTAGAGAGTCATCACCTAAATGTGTTTCTTTCTCCGTGGGCACAACAGCGAGCAGTGAGCGAGGGAATACGGGACCACCCTTGGGAGAAACAACCGGAGCGTTCGGTTTGGAAGGAACTAGGGAGGCTGTAGTGAGGGTGGGCGCAACTCAAAACCTGGAGAGCGTTTGCAATTTTATGGCGGCGCCAGAGGGAGAGGATTCGAGAAAGGATATGCGCCAGTGTTGCCTGCACGAGAGCAGGCGCCCGCTCTGTTGCAACCCTGTTGCTCCATGCGCCTTTCCTCCTCTCGCCTCCCATTGGAAGCAACGAGCGCCTTGGCGCAGCCTCTCTCGCTTCCTTCTCGCTCCGAGAATTGCAAACGTCGAGTGGAGAAAGCAAAGTTGCCAGACAAGCACCAACGTCCAAGATGGCGGAATTTACCATTTTTCGCGTTAAAAAAATACTTAACCTATCGCAACAAAACTGGTGGCTATGGAAAAGTAATCATTTATACCTTGTGTAAATTATTCAAGCACCTTAATGGGCTTTTATGACCCGAGTTAGGAAAGAAAACGACCCTTTGCCCCATAGACTCCCAGCAAAATTTAGCAATTAAATGGCGTCCATGTCTCGTGATCGCCGATCTAGCAGCTGCACCCACCCTCACTTGAGCCTCCCTAGAAGGAACCCGACACTTGGGCGCCATCTATCCCCGTGCGAGTGAAGCGCTCGGTGCGCCGAACATAATGTGGTCGCCGCTAGGGCGGAGAGTCATCTACTACATGTTTCTTCCACCGTGCTTTAGTTCACAGAAGGCAGACGGCACTGAACGAGAGGGCTTGTTAAAGCCCCTCTATCCTGGGAAAAGTGGCGCCATTCATTATTGTAGAAATGCTCGAGGCACGTGCCACGCGCCACTTCTGGGAAGAACATGCCGTCTGAAATCTAGCTCAGTGCTGCGCTGTTACAGTTACTAGAATACTTGGGTATAGTGCCACTAAATAAGCTACGCTTCAGAGTAACGACACTTGGCCATATTGTGTCGTAAAATCATGGTTGCCAGTTATCTGAAGCTTTATCTGAAATGACAGGAAACGCCTTTCCGCCCTCCACAAATGTTTAAATACTTCGTGACAGAGCAAACCAATATTGCCTGACCTTTCCACAACCAAAACTAATGCTGAAGAAGTTTCACTTTTGAGTCATGACGATCGGCAGTTGCGTCTGCTCTGCATACGAGCCAAAATGGCGGCGCCCACATCAATGCCGGGGAACGGAGTGCCGATACTCTAAGCGCAGCTCATTTAGTGGCTCTACTTGGGTAGTGTTGGGACCGGAGCGGCTCGGCAACGGGAGCTCGTGAGGGCGCGTGTATTGACAGTTCGTCGCGGCGCTGTAGTCGAGTTATCGGAAAAAAATCGCGCAGCCCGCTTTTTTTTTTCACTTTGAGCGGTTCAGTTGGCGGTACCACGATTTTATACACTCCGTTTCACCGTAGGTTGTGCCGCAGCGAAGGCTAGAAGCGCGAGCTCATAGCGTTGGCAGCTGCCCTTGGTGCACGAGAGCTTGTGCCGCCGAGATATGTCCTAGGGCAAGCAGCTCGCGCTTGTAGCCTTTCCTGCGGTACGACACAAGGTGAAACAGAGTATAGTTCCGTGTGTTTTTCATAAAGTGCCCTCATACACACGCGCGCTTTTGCTTGAGTGGTGACATCTCAGCCATTTTTCTGCCCAATCGTTTTTTTTTATGCACTTTGAAGTGCGCAAAATAAGGTGTCACTCAGCTCGAGCGCGTAGCTTTGGCTAATGCATAGACGCCATTTTACCGCCTGAGTCACGCACCGAGTGCGTGAAAGCGTCACGCTCTGGCACAATCAGGGCAACCATGAATGTCTTCACCCTGAGACAGACAGACATGTAGGGACCCTAGTTTTTCACTTCGAGCAGTGCGCGTGTCGGGACCACGATTTGATAGTTCCGTGTGTTCGATCGTAATATGCTTTGAATCTTGTGTTCTGATTTTGCGGATGGTTAACGCGAGAGGGTAGTGCCGAAATGCCGTCGGCGAAACAGCGACAGAACTCTTGCTCTGCACTTGGATGCAAAACGGGCCACATCCGAGTGAAAGGAGTGAAAACGGCGTCCCTTTTCGGCGTTTTAGGTTCAATGTTAAAATGCGTGATAAAAATTGTCACGGCTTATAAACCTTTTCTTACAAGTAAGCGTCGGGCGGTCTTCGAATGGTCGTGGCAGCCATGAAGAAATAAAAGGTTCTCACCTCTTTGCGACCGTCGCTTGGGTGGTTCGTCGCATAAATGAACACAAGAATGAGAGACAAATGAAGCGAGCTGATGAAGGTCAAGAAAAAGAAGACGGGCGGAAATGAAGACAGAGAAGGTAACCTGGGGTATTAAAAACATACTAAAACAATCTCCGACTTTAGTATGTGCCGTTTCGTTCTATTATAAAATAAGATAGGAAAAAAAAAAAAAAAGAAAACTGCTTCCGAGTTTTAGATATTCTTTTAAGTATCTAATGTTTGGCCTTTGTGACCAAGGAAATGGGCGTTTCCTTTAAAATGCTCACCATCCGACAAACCGAAAGTCGCAGCTAATTCCACGCTGAAACAACTTGCAATCCGCTTCTTTAAAGACGCAATTGTTTTTTTATGTAAAGGAAGGGTAATGTAGCTTGTACCGTCCAATACATTGAAGCATCATGTGTCTAACGATCGTTCCGCAGCGTAATGGATGCCGCGGTACGACCGCTGGCAGATCGTAGCTGTATCAGAAATCCTATGTGCACTCCACCAAAGCGGCACCAAAAATTCATATTTTCGCGCGTGCAGCCGCGCATGCGCACACCTTCTGGATAACGCGCCGGTGTCGACACCTGTCGCGATCAATACCACGCGCTTCAGGCGAGCCCCTCCGGTCTCAACACTACCCAAGTATTCTAGTACATTCTAGCGCTGTGCCGCCATGATCTTCCCGAGGGCTGCACGTTACACGTGCCTCGTGCATCGACGAACATTGCTCTACTTTTCAAACATGAAGGGACTTTAGGGCTCGTGCCGTCTCGTGCCCTACCATAGGCCCTACACAGATAGAGCTCCAGCAAGGTTGTCTCACATGCCCTTAAACAAAAGTTCCCTCGAGACATTGCCGGCAGTGGTGGCGTATTCAAACTATTGGCGACGTGACCGATCAAAAGCGTCGCGGTGGTCGGCCCTGCACGATTGGCCGAATGCTGACTTTGACGTCAGCAAAGGATTCCTCATCGACAGAAATAAGAGTAATGTAAGAACTTCGATTTTGACGGTGTTGGCAGTATTGGTTTAAAGCTCAATGATTTCCAGCTTCCACCATTCTGATTACAAACACCATCGAACTTGTTATTCACAGGTTAATGACGTCAAGAAAGGTAACCATATGAGGACGCCAGACAAATATCTCAACGCTAATACTCCGTTCACCCTTAGAGACTAGAAGCTCCGCAGTGCTTTGGTTGCGCGTGCCTGCGCGTTCACACTTGTGTTGTCAAGGGGAGCGGAGTATAGCTGGCGATATATATAAACATTAAACATTGGCTGGAATTTCGCATCAGTACCACTTTAAGTCAGGTTATATCAGGTTGAGCCAGCTTAGGATACGTTAGGTTAGGTTATGCTAGGTGCTAGGTTAGGTTAGGTCAGGTTAGACTAGGTAATATTATGCTAGATCAGGACAGATTAGTATAAATTAGGTCAGGAAATGTTATGCTGGGATAGGTCAGACAGGCATAGGTCACTCTATATTATCCCTTTTTGTCCTTGTTTGATGTCGTACGTTCACCGCCGCAGGCAAAGTGCCATTCCCGGACGGGCAGTCTCCGGAGATCCGCATTTCGTTTATGACGGACAGCTACGGCAGCGGCAAGGGCTTCCACCTCGAGTACAGGCAGCTTCCGTGCAAGGCTCCAATGGCGGACACCGCGGCCCAGGGTAACGACATGGCCAGCTCGGACCAGAAAGCGCTTTGGCTGAAGAACTACAAGGACCGGACGGAACTCATCACTGCCAGCATTTTCGTGGAGAACAGGGCAAATATCTCCAACCCCCAGCGCTTCATTCACGACCCAGCCAAGACAAGGACCGCCCAATAAGCATCCCCTGATTTTTTATTTTATTTTGGAAGTTTGTGTACAGTGTTATTTGACTTAAATGTCCAAACTGCTCACCCGAAAGGGGGTATTCACTTGCGTTCATATTTGTGTACGCGACTGATGAGCGCGTGCTGATGGTGAGCTTCTTCTGCAACGTGCATCCACACCATCAAGGTTGCCGGTGTTGGCAGCTTATTAGTACTATGAGCTCGTTCTGGGCATGCATGCGCTCTAAACAGTGCCTTCGGATATGGCGCCCCATGAATAACACCTATAATGAACGCCATTGCTGAGTGCGCCATTCAAAGCGCACGCTCAGAAGGAGCTCAGATTAGTAGAATGCTAAAACCGGCAAACTTAACGGTGTAGAATGCGCGTTGCGAAAGAACTGTGGAAGCTCGCCATGAGCACGCGCTTCGCAGCCGCAGACACAAATATGACAGGCAGCGAATACTCCCTATATAGGGGGATTCACTGGGCGCCATGTTTGAGGGCGATGTTTGGAGCACATTTTCTGAGAACGAGCTCACGTTACTAGGCTGCTAAGACCGGTAATCTTGATTGTGCGGAATGCAAATTGCATAAGAACTGTGGGAGATCGCCGTCAGCGCGCACTCAGCAGTTGCGCAAACAGCTATGACCGCCAGTGAATACTCTCTATAAACACTTTGCAGACGCTGTGCATAGGCGACACCATAACCGACCTTCAGTTTTGGTTTCCTCTTATTCCGTGTGCTTCAATTCATCAGTGCCACAGCAGGAGAGGTTAGTACTACTTTAGGTGCTCCTGTGTCCTCCTCCCTAGCATAGGCCTTTGTGGAGGCTCATCAACGCTCGCTTCAGTGCCTCGGCATCTCGGTAAGACTAAAGCAACTGGACTGTGGGAAAGTAGCACCGAGTTCCCCGTATGGTCGCCATTTTGGCTCATGGAATTAGCAATTTCATTTTGACCTCACCATTATTGGTGAGCCAATCTAAATTCGCTGATGATGGCTAGCTTTATATATAGGTGTCTTGTATACCGAGATTTTGCTATGCCCACACCGGGCAAACAAGCGTACATCATCGTACAACCACCACATGCGGTGCGGTGCGTGGAGGCATTGAAAAATAATTTTCCTGTTTTGAATTACGCAGAAAGAGGTGTATGATTGGATACGGGGCGATGGCCATGATTAATAAATTGATTGCATACACAGCGCCAAAGACGCTTATATAGGCGAGGAAAGCCTCCCGTACGGTGATGCTTCGTGGTGATCTTGGTGCGACTGAATTAGAACGACCCTCTCGAAGCTTCAAATATTTTAAGGGGCCGAAGTCGCGATTTCCATAGCAATGGAGACCTATTAACCAATTTCCTTGCAAGGTTTCTTTTCGGCAACTCCTCCTGTATACGGTACTGCCTGTCAGGTCGTGCGCTTAACAATGGGTACCGGCGGACGCCCCGCTTCTCTCACTTCCCGCTGCATGACGGCGCAGCCCGACCACACATCGCTCCGACAGTGACAGAATAAAAGGGGGATCGGTGGCCGAGTGGTCTAGCGCACACCAGCTCGGAGCACGTGGAGCGAAAGCTCGCGCTGCAGAACCCAGGGATCCTGGGTTCGAGCCCCACCCCTGGCCGTTTCGATCTGGATGAGCATCGTATCGGCGTGCGGTCGTGTATCACTACTGCGTGATGCACGTTAAAGACCCCAGGCTAGCGGCTGTACCGCACTGGCTAAATTTCTCATCTACAGCTGGGAGACTCGTCGCCCCTGTGAGGCAGACCAAGTTCTAGGCTGTATAAACACACACACAACCCAATTTGTTTTTGACAGAATAAAGAGGAAAACATCACGAAACCGATGCACGTGCGACAACCAAGCGGTGATGACGGTGGCGTGCCCGGCCCGGGCAATGCAGAGCCGTTTATACTGAGAGAGTTTGGCCTTCTTAAGGAGATTTTGGCAGTCTGACAACCACAGCAGCGTAGTCTGACAACCGGGGGATGACTACTTCCGTCCGCCATATTGTGGATCTGACTCATAGGAACTCTACGCGATTTCACAGGAATGAACAAGACAAAGAAGTAACGCCATATTGTGTTATTGCGAAATCCGCTGGTTCTAGCGGCCAACAAGCTCCGCCCATCGGCCAAACTCTCTCAGTATAAACGGCTCTGGGGCAATGAGACGCGTTGCCCGCCTTGAGTGTTGCACGTGCCACGTTGCAGCCCCTGGGAAGATCATGGCGGCACAGCGCAGCACTGAGCTGGATTTCAGACGCCATGAATTTCCCAGAATTTGCGCGCGGCACGGGCCTCCAGCATGTATGCAACAATGAATGGCGCCACTTTTCCCAGGATAGAGGGGCTTTCCTGACTGTCAGGTGCCGGCGCCTCAAGCGGCAAACTCTAACTAATGGGAGAGGGTAATAGGAGAGGGCAGGAACCGGGTGAAAACGCTCATGTGACAGGCATTACCTAGAGGAGGCGTTGCTTCGGTATGTTAGTGTTTGTTTCTGTTCGGCTAGCAGGCAGGGAAGGTAATGACGCTACTTTCCCAGTAGTCAGTGACTTTAGGTAAGACAAGAAAAGGTCGGCTATGGCGGCTCAATTTGGCGCGTGCTTAAAGCGTCCATAGAAAATTGTAAGCATGGAGGCAGCCCGACTGTTGCCTTGTGCATGCAAAGCACGTGCAGCGTGTGCGTTAACGTAGCTTGGACGAGCTTGCGATCGGATGGGCGTGCCCACACGAGCAAAGTCAAGGCGGTGGTCAGTCGCCTTGCTTTCAATCGTCCGTACACCTTCGCAAGTTGGGTCTTGGCTAAAAGGGACATGCTTCAAGGGAAAGTATGTTTTTTATTACTTTAATAACTGAATAAAATTTTCACAGTTTATAGTGTTTTATCTTTTTTTTTAAATATAGTGATAGTTTTGATATGGCACGTTTTTTATGTTCTGGATACTCTGCAAAAACGAAAAAAGGCTCGTTATTCCTCACACGCGGGACATGGCAACACACCTAAAAGAACCTAGTAAATTAAGCTTATTAGTTCCTTTGAAACCACCGAGATCAAAGAACTGCAGAAATAATGTGTGGGAGGCATTTCTTACATTTTTAAATAACTGAAAATCACAAAAGACGTTATATTAAAGGGGCTAACAAAAGTTTCTGAATTGTGTTTTGCCCATGAATGTAAAATATATGTATACATTCAAACCAAACCTTCATAATTTTATTCTATATTACCGTGACAGCGCAGAGAAACAATCACATACCAGATACTCAGAATGACAAGCACACGCGTTGAACTTACAACTCTTGTGTATTCGTTCTTCTCTTCAACGTCTGGATTGACTTTCCAGAACGCGATAAGCAAGAGAGCTAGCGCAAATTACAAGGAAAAAAGGCGAAATAACTCACAATAGAAAATGAGAAGGCAAACAAGGAAGAAAGAAACGAAAAAAATTAAAGACCTTTACAATCCCCTGTAACGCCAAATTAGAGCGCAGCTCTTGAGGAGAAGGAGAGAAGGGTACTGAGAGGAAAAGGTGGAAAGTTTCTCACTACTAACATGGGTGTGGATCGACGTGTGCTTAACGCAAGCGGAAAGAAAATGTACATCTTTTGTGAGAGCATCGCGTGTAAACTTGGCCGGAATTTAGCGGGGCATTTTTTTCCCTAACTTTAGCGGAGCATTTTTTCCACTGCATTTAGCGGGGAAATGTTTCCCGCTAGATTTAGCGGGGAAATTTTTGCGCTAAATTTATTGGGGAAATTTTTCGGCTAGATTTAGCAGGAAAATATTTTTTACTAAATTTAGCGGGGAATTTAGCTTTATCGTCATCGTCACTGTTGACGTCATCAGTGACGTCACGTTGGACGTCATCAATGACAACAACGACGAGGATCACGTCATTGTGATGACGTCATCGTCATCGTCATCGCGCGGTTACGCCGACGGCGACAGCGACGCCGCTGAAGCCGGAAACGGGCGCCTAAGAGCTGCGCTCTAAGAAGAAAAACCCTTACAAGTAGGGTTGGGCGAATATTTGGTTATTACGAATAACCAATCGAATTCTGTTCTATTCGGCACTCGCTTCGAATCGAATTTAAACATTTGACAATATTGAATTATTCGGCAATATCGAATTCTTCGACAATATATGATTATTCAACCTTTCTAAATACAGTCAAACCCGACTATATCGAACTTGTTCACATCGAATTAATCCTTTTATTAAAAAAAATTGTGCACAGTAATGTTACAGTGATAATATATAGCAAAAACTATGGTTGCATCGAAAAAAAATAGCCGCCGCTACTGATATACCCAACTGCCAAGAGCGCCGTTTTGCCCTGCAAGCTGGCTTTTTTTTTTTCCGGGGGGGGGGGGGGGGGGGGGGGGGGGGGGGGGAGTTGGCGGCCGCGTCGGCCGCAGGGAAGAAAAGAAAACAGCTTCAGCGGAGAGAGGGTGCTCCGTGCTCCCTCTCTCCGCTCCGTCCGTAAAAGAATATTATTTTTTCTTCGAAACAATTGACGCTGCCGATCAGAAAAAAAAGCCAGCTTGATTTGTTAGTTAATTTTCCCCCAACGCAGCCTCTCTGTAAGAGGAAGCCAACTTGCACAACAAAACGGCGCTCTGCAGGAGAAGGTGCTCCTGCTCGGACATACTCCGTGCTCTCGGCATAGTTCGGCACTAATGCGCGAATATAGAAGGCAGCGGTCTGAGCATTTTGGAGTCCGTTGATAGCGTAGAAAAATATCGTTATCGCGGATACAATGAAGAAAAAGCAGCAGAAGATGCAAGACTACTTCATTGTGTAATATTTCAGCAGAAAGTCGATTTTTGAGAGTCAAATTCATTAAAACTTTTATATATAATTACCCGCTATATCGAACTAGTAGACGTTTTTTTGCGAGTTCGATATAAACGGGTTTGACTTACTCTGGCTTGGATTTCTAGCCAGGTGGTGCAAGCTTCCGACCATTTTGACCATTTCATGCTCCCGAACTCAATACACTTAAAATTAACAATTACAGTACGTCCTATACCAAATAAGGGCAAATATAAAACTATAGTTTAGACATATCTTGTGGTCTTTTGTTGCTTTGTACTA